ATACTGCACTGGCGTGCAACTGATCAATTGCAACCTGCAGCAAGTGGATAGATTAACTTGACACTATCGTACACGGTGTCTAGTAAAACGGGCTGCTCAAAAATCAGTACTTTCACAGTACTTTTTCAGCACATACCCAGGAAATTCAGTACCTCCTCAACAAAAAAATTCAGTACTTTTTCAGTACCGCCAATTAACGAAATTCGAAAAATTTCAATTATTTGTATTTCTCGCTCAAATTGCGACCAAAATGACAAAAAATGAAAAAAATCGGACCTTTGTGCGGAATTTCCGCACTTTTTCGGTACTTCCGGACCGCCTTAAAAAATTAGTACTACTTCCGGACTTGTAAGCACCCTGATCGTACCTACTGAATTAACGGCTTACAACATATCTTTTTTTTGCGGCTCTCAGTTTTTCGTTTGCTCGTGGAACTCATTTTCTTGTGTCTTCCATTTTAAAAGAGGGGAGCGGAAATTGTGAAAGATGAAAAAAATAATTATCAATTTAAAAATTTTAAAAAAACGATTTTAGCGAATTCTGAAAGCTTTAAAACTTTTTAACAAACAAATTTCATATTTACAGTATGATAAAACATGAAGGAAGTTACCATTCTTCCTGTGTTTTTGTTTGCAAGCATTTACCGTTAAAATCGTTTTTGAAGATGATTCCACATCGCATGGAACAGATCAAAAGCAACAGCAGCTTGATTCATTTAAGTTGAATCAGGAAAATTGAACCTACATTCTAAGTGAGTCAACCACATACTCATTTCATTTCATCCAATATTGCCTTTAAAGCAAGTGAAGACAAGCAATTAAGCAAACTTTCAAACTGTCATTTTTATTTTTGCGACGTTGGGTTATTTTAGATCGACCTTTCCTTCAGTGTCGGGTCGAGAGCAGAGGTAGCGACCAACATTGAAATAAAGTGGAAAACGCCACTTTTTCCACCTAGAAACTTGGATTTGCCTCCCCTATTGAGGTGACTGATGAACTCACCCACGAGTCAAATCGAATTAAACTAGAACTATGAAGTTCCTTTCCCATAGAGACGGAGCATTATTCCTTGAGGTAGTAGCACTGATGAGAGACGAATGTTGATGTTAAATTGGGTGGAAACCGCAGTTGAAGTTCCCAGGGCCTACTGCCCTTCTCAACAAGTCGACAATAGCTCCGATCACAGAGTTTGAGTTTACTAATTAGGCCGACGCTGAGTAATTTTTATGAGCGACTCGACACGACCATCATTCACCGGCGGCAAGTCTCCCAGACATGACAACTGCTCTGTTGCCGAGATCATGTCAATAATTTACTCTACAATGAGCTTCGGATTTTCAGCATCGCATAATATAGAATGATACATTGTGTCATATCGTAGCAGCGCTAAAAAGATACTACGCTTCAACCGGAATGAGTCAAACCAGAATTTTGGGAAAATTGTCTAAGACGCAGTTTGAAAAAAAAAAAAAAAACTGGATCTCAATGAAAGATTGAACCATGCCTTTGCTTTGGTTGAAACTTGAACAGCAGTGGCTTGGACAAATCTGCAATCTACGAGTATCACCAATCATTTTTTGTTTTATTTTTTGAAAAAGAAATTAAGAAAAAAGAGATACAGGTAAAAGTTTCACAGCTAATTTTCAGCTAGATTTAAGCTAATTGTTCAGTGTTATCCTCAGCGGTTACTTCGGGAGTAGAAATAACTTTTCTTATAATAAAACTAATTGTAAAAAAGGACATTAATAATGAAGGCAACAGGACTGATTTTGAGAAATCATCTTGTGATAAACTTGCGTAGCCCCGCACTGAGAAAAAATTACGGTTATAGTTACCATATTAGTGGTGTTCAATATGAACTCATAATAAGTAGTTGCCATGACGAATAATAGAGATATTCTTACCATTAAATGGTAATTTTACTACCGCACACTTGTAAAATTACGATTGCTCCGCAGTAAAAATATTATTATAAATATATTTGGTTATGGCCACTACTAACCAAGAGAGCATATTGAACATCACTAATATGGTAATCATAACCATAGTTTTTTCTCAGTGCGTGTTTGTAGGGAATCATTAAAATGGAGCTCTTCAATGGAATTACTTTTTCGTTCTTATCGCTGGACTCACCCTCAAAAGACGGAACTCTATAGTGTTTCTTAACCAAAGGGAATTAGAAATTTCGAAAATTCCACGGATCATCATGTAAAATCGGGCAGATCTGTCTATATGGAGGATGAATTGGAGAAGAAAGTAAATATGTGCTGGTAAATATGGCAATGGAGGGAAGAAGATTCAGAGTTACGGCGCACGCGTACGAGATCAAAGGCGCCGAGTTGATTTTTCATCGTTGTTACAATTAATTAAACTGACGACATCCTCAAAAAATCAATCATCCCGAAGACCCCGAAGATCTTTATCGTTGGCTTGCAGGCTAATTCTTAGAATACGAAGTCATGTCTTCTTGGTTTTACTTTTACGAGAGGATGCAGTGAATGAAAAATGATTTTTGGACGAGTACTTTCTCTTCCATGGCTGGTAGACCTTCTGAGAAGCAAGAACTTACACGGAAGAAATCATCGAAGTCCTAAAGAGTCCTTGCTATATTTAAACTTAAACCTCATGACGACTTACACACTGGAAAAAAAAACACATTGGATCTAGAGTCCAGACTCTTGAAAACATTGACAAGAAAAAGGACTCTTGATTCAATCAGATTTAAGCTTAAATCAAAAGGATATCCGCTCAAATTAAGAGGCTTGGTTCCTAATTTAAGCTTAAATCTGATTGAATCGAGAGTATTTTTTCTTTTCGGTGTTTTTCAGAGTCTGGACTCTAGATCCAATGTGTTTTATCCAGTGCAGATTAAATAGAGTGCATCAAAAATGATTTCAATTCAAAAGAAGTTTGATTTCTAGTCAAGGAGGATTTAGACGGTTCAATTCCGAACGAATTACTGGGGTTCATGAAGAGGAGGATCGATTAATGGGATTTATGGTTTTTTTCCAACTGATGAGAGGTCAATTTATAGGCACTCCAAGAAGGAAAGGGAAAGAGTTTTCAGGGGCATCCTCTTCGGTGCTTTTATACGTTGCTTTTCAATGCTTTTTTATAGGGGTAGGAACCACTGGTTGAGAAGCCCTCTTAAAAGTGAGGTCACGTTGTGGGGTAGAATTTTTTTAGTGCTACGTCTTAATAATGAATGCAGGAACTTTTTAGGAAAACGTGTCATTGAATGAGAGATACTTTTTCAAAAGTACTTTCTACTATAGAAGGGTTCTCTTTTCAATAAGTAATATTCGTGCTGTGATTGTCAAACGTTGCGATTTTCTCTTATTTTTTAGATACTTCTGATTTCTCTCTAGACCCACCCTAACGTTTTCTCCCCTACCCCCTTCCCACTCACCATATCCCCCGCAAGGCTCTTATGACTGAGCTATGTACTTGTGGAGGGTCTAGAGGTTTCTATGAAGAAAGAAGAAAAAATAGCGACGATTTGGCAACCTCGGTACGAACTTTTCATTGATTCCCGGAGAGACGCTCTACAAACGCGGGCGGGGCATCGCGAGTAAAAAATTCATGAGTATTCAAGCTATGGCGGCGCGTTTTGCGTTTTGGCGCGCGCCGCGATTGATTTGTATCAATCGATCATGAAGCATGGATGTCGATGAGTCAGGTGGGGCTGAGCTGAAGCCTAGCGAGGAACACGGCCTAGTTCCGCCGCGCCGCGCCGGCATGGCATCGGCACTGATCTTAGACTTGGAATCAATTACCCACGTCAAAAGTGATGTTTCGTTTGACCTGCGTCTGTCGCGGCGACTCGTTGTTTTAGAAAGCTCGCTAGTGCGCGCATTCGTACTTTCTGCCTTGTGCGTCTTTCAGGTGTCTTGGTGCCCACCTGCCGGCGCCGACGCGAGGTGGATGAGACGTCGAAATTTGAGCGCCATGTGGGGGATGGTTTAATGAATGGATCTTAACAAGTCAAAAAGCGATTTTTCAACTTTTCTAAAAGCGTACAAATTCTTACAAGTATATCAAGTATATTTCGACAAGTTTAGTTCTATTTCGATCTTTCATCCGAATCTTCATCGTAATTTTCTGCACCAGTTTTTAGTAGGTCTGGCTCAGTTGGTATTTTGGTCCACTTTCAATGACTAGTCACCTTGAGGTCTGATATTTAATTTCAAAGCATTAAACTACACTGGAAAAAAAAAAAAAAAACACATTGGATCTAGAGTCCAGACTCTGGAAAACATTGGCAAGAAAAAATACTCTTGATTCAATCAGATTTTTGCTTAAATCAAAAGGAAATCCGCTCAGATTAAGAGGCTTGGTTCTTGATTTGAGCAAAAATCCGATTGAATCAAGAGTATTTTTTTTTTTTTTGATGTTTTTAAGAGTCTGGACTCTAGATCCACTGTGCTTTTTTTTCAGTGTAATTTGGAATTACAGTTGCCTCTAAAGTCTAGAGCGCAGATGTTAATTTAAAAAAAAGGACATTTCAGATTTTCCGCACATGGAAAAAAGTGTTAGGGATTATCCTCTAAAATTGTGGTACCACTCCAATTTGTTGGATTATATGGGCAATTCCAATTAATTGTGGTAGTACCGCAATTCAAGTTGGGGTAGTTCGGCGACATTTCGGTTCGTATCTTAATTTATCGGGGTACTACTGCAACCAATTGGAAATGCACATATCATCCAACAACCCTTAACTCTTTTTCCGTACTGAGTCCAGTCAGTGATATACATGGAAAAAATGGAGACAAAGAGAAAGAAATGGACTGAGGAGTACTAAAACCAAGATATCGCTGTTCCTTTGACGTAAGAGTTCAACTTAATTTCATGCTCTGGAAAGCATAAACACATTTACGGACTACGGTGCTAACTTCAAAAGGTAGTTAAACCATTTCGTTAGAAGAGCGACGATATATGGTTTTAAGTCTGAGCTTTTATAATTGTTCTCGATACTATTGAATTAAGTGGAAGAAAACTTACTTGGAGACAGCCGCACCAGCCTTTGCGGCCTCTTACGGCCGGCATACTCGGCAGCAGGGACGCTATACGGTCGGCCAAGCCAGCTGCGTTCAAGGGACACCCTGACACCGCCTGCAACATAAAATATTCACTTTTACCAACACGTACAAATGATAGAATAGGTTATTCAAGTTCAAAATTGATTCAAATTGCATTGCATGATCAGAACATAAAAAAATCTCATCAGCGCCCAGCATTTAATAAATGATAACTTATATTCAATACCGGGAATAACCAAAACATCCTAAACATTTTTGCATGCTTCATTTAAGACCTGCACTGAAAAAAAATTCTCGGCGTTTTTACCAAGGTCCATTGGTACCTTTACCATCTCACTTTTCTTACCAATTATTGGTAATTTTACCAAGACAAACTGGTAAGCTTACCTAAAAACCGGTATTTTTACTGTTTTTTTTCAGGTAAGAATACCACTTTAATTGGTAATCAATTCCCGGTAACTTTGCCATTTTATCTCGGTAATTCTACCACAGTCGATAAAAAATATTGGAGTTTTTACCAAGGTCCAGTAAAATTACCGAGATTCTCGGTAAAATTACCAATTCCATAAATGGTAATTTTACCAAGAAAAAACTGGGATCAAATAGAACCCTGAATTCTTGGTAATTTTACCCTTTTCTTAGTAAATACACCGAGATTTTATTTTCAGTGCAGAGTGATATTTCAAATTGAGAGATCATTAATGTCACTCTTGCTCAGAAATTTGCTTGGATATCGCGGTGAATTTTCAGTTTTCGATGATTCCTCAGTTTGTTCATAATTTGATCGTGTCAAAACCACATACTTATGGTCATCTTTGGGACATAGTTCCAAGACCAACATGTGAGGCCCGAAGGGTATCCGTTATCGCCGCCTGTTTGGGTCATGAGGAATATGAGTGATTCAAGTCTCTATCCATTACGGGTAAAAGAAAGCACAAATTGCGTACGCAATTTACAACACTCAGAGATTAAAGACAGGTTGATGAATGAAGAGCTGGAACATAAAAGCCGGGCACCCGGACTTAATCTCTCCTAGATTTCAAGACTGCTCAAACTTGAATTATACAGCTAGGCAAACATAGATGGTTCACTAATTTTTTAGACTTATTTTTTTGGGTGTGAGTGTCACCTCCGCCGGACGGTGGACGACTCGCCTACAGGTGTCCGATCTGATTGAAGGCGACGAACTTTTACCCGACGCGTTTCTTTTCGGTGGGAAGGACAGGACATAGAACAGAGGCGCTTCTTTCACTCTGGACGTGATTTGACAAGCAGATAAGCTAATGCACGCTCCCGCGGTTAAGCAACCCGTCGTACGAGCGGCTATTAATGAATGCAGGCGCCGTATTAACTAACCGACGATGACGCACAAGTGGATCCAGTCAATCGGAGAGGTCGCACATAAAATCTGATACGAAAACTCACAATTTTGATGTATATTCCGCCACATTCTAAATTTTAAGAGGTGCATAGAGCAGAAAATTTCACGAGGAAACCAATATAGAACATGGTGTCTAGAATTTTTGACCAGGATCGTTCTCTGATTTTCAGGAGCTCATTCCCTGATGAGAAATCGAAGTTTTCTCCCACTTCCCCGGGATTTTCTGGAGAAAAAGAATAAAAATTCTCCAGAGTTCCATCGGTGAATATCGATTTTAATCCATCTTTCAGCCGTTTCTTTGGCGCACATTCAAAATTTGAATTCCGATAGGGTTCCTGATGTTTATTATTATCTGCTCAACGAAAGCTCCTCTATTCTTTTGATGATTTGAAGATTCAAATGTGTCCTTCAAGAAGTCAATGGTAGCGCTCGGTCAGATTAGACCGTCTTTGAAAACGAAATGATTCCTAATAGCGGTAGAAGAAAAAATTCCCGCTTTCTGGAACAGACTCCCTGATTTTCCCGGTAAATTTTCATTCCCTGATGAATCCCGGTCTTCCCCGTTCTAGACACCATGCAGTAGAGCCACTTTTGAAACCTCAAGTTTCGTTTAAACGGAGTTAAAAGCATTTACAGTTTCCAAATTTTGTCCGACCTCTCATATTGACTCGATCCACTGTGCGACGGTCTGCTTTGTGACCGACAGGTCGGTTCTTTTTCTCTCTTATGCCTTTGCTCCTCTGTGCTAGGAGCATCTTGTCCGAAACTAGACTCGGTGACTGATGAAAAATTGATACGGTGTAATTACTCCTTCGACTGTACTTTTGGGTTGATCGTCAACGAATGTTTTTAGTCTTGGGGCCAGGTTACATAATGTACCTGAAAGGGGGAGGTCCTGGTCCTGAATCAGCATTTTCCTCTATTCTGTTGTGCTAAGGAAAAACGCCGTATGATCCTTTAGACGTTGCCAGATTTACTTCAATTAAAAAAGAATTTTCTTGGAGCAACGCGAACATTTTTCTTCAAATTTTTCAGATAATTTTGTTCGCAATTTGATCTAAAATATCTGAAAATTTCAAGAAGAAGTATGAATAACTTTCCTCAAAAATACATATCTTATCTAGAGAATTTTGGCAACTCTCGAATGTTCATACGGCGTTTTTCCTTAGCACGGCAGTATTGCACTGTTAAGAATCTTAGTGTGAGAGTGCATCACTGGAGTGCATTTGAGTGTGAAGCCTATTTCCCATCAGAAAATTGTCGTTTGCCGGTTGAAACAACGCAACTCCGTTCCAAGGTTGCAAAATTGACTCAAAAACATTTTTTTTTACAAGAATGAACTTGCGCAATTTCCGTTGAAAATGTTTCTAATTTTTGCCCGAGGTAAGAAGAAAAACTAGTGTGATGTTCAGCTAGAAATTCCCGAGATACTTCTGGTAAAAAAACAATTTACGCGAGGAAATTTGGTAACATTGAAAAGTTGTTACGTTCTTTAGTCCAGGAAACGGCGAAATGTGATATGAGCTGCCTCCTCAAAGCGGAGTTTACGCCACAGTTGAACGGTGAAAAAGTTCATATAAGAAAACTGATGGCGAGTACCTAAAACGCTAGAAGAAAGCATTACTTGGTATGAATGAAAGGTGTAAAACAGTTCGCCTGACGCATGCGTACATAAACGTCATGTGTTTTACACTCAGTTTAACATATTGAAAAATATAGTGATGATAGAAATTATGATTTGAAAATGACAACTGACGCATTTAGGTATTAAACAGCCTCATTAAAGGCTTAGCCACTAGTTCCTTATTAAAGATACCATTACTTCCACTTTACGATCGCAACAAGGAGACACTACTATTAGTTTTAAATCCAGTCATTCAGTATTTACAGTACGAAGGAACGGTTTTCTGGGGTGTCACTGGATCTTTGCAAGATGTTTCTTTAGTACACATTCCAAGCTTCGTCCTCTGCCGCTTCTTGACACAGCATCGTGTCATGTTGCCTATTAGCTAATGACCTCTGGAGCTAATTGAAGTGTCAGCGGCCCTGTTAGAGGGATGAGGCTACAACGCTACGCGACGTGAAAGCGAACAGCAACTTTAAAGTAGTATTGAAACTTGCGCGAGTAACGAGGCCCAATGAATAACGTTCATTTCGATTAATCGATTGCTATTTGCGGTCACTTATTAGCTAGATGAACCGTGGATTGAATACATTCTTTTCAATGCTACTATGTAAGCGGCATGTTCTGTTAACCTTTGGTAACCGGTCCCGCAATCTGTGAGTGGTTAGGCTGGGGGTGAGTATTCAACGCTCGCCTAATTAAAACCCGTGCCAATATTTTCAGGACGTCTCAGAAAATTGAGAGAAAGGCTGGTAATAGTGACAGCCCAGATGCAAGGTTCAAACGAGGCAAAATTCCTCATTACGTATTTTTGAACTTGAGGATTCTTTCCGGCTGCTAATCGGGAGAAATTTAGTTCTCACATTAAAATCGGATTCAAAGAGAAACAAGTTGGATTTTGCAATCGCTAGCGATAGCAATATTCGTCATGGGAACGTTAGCTTCTGGGATATGAAAATGTTAAGGTACAGTTCGTTTGTAGTATCTTCTGAATTGAAGGGGCTATGTAATTTTGTGTTGACATCTCTTTTTTAACATTTTTAATTATTTTCTTTGCATACAAGAAAGCTGTTATGTACCAATTATTTATTTTCGTTGAATTATATATGGTTTTCGGAAGTTAACGCATTTAAGTTTCAGGTTCGCTTTTTCGGCGTAAAGTATACGTAAGGTGTCCCAAAAGCACCGGGACTTGTTCTGTAACTTCGAAAGTAAGATAGATACAGACATGATCTTGATTTCATTTTAAAGATCAACTCAATACCTATCGATTAAAACCAAGATCAGCTCAATCGGATAAAAATTGACCGAGTTATGGCAATTTGAAATCAGCGAGGAAAGTTTACGCCTACGATTTTTAAGGAAGATTCTTCATCGCCGTAAATCGAAAAGTCGGCCGATAAAATGATGCTTATTAGTGTATTTTCCGAAGGAAATACACTATTGCGTTTTGTGTTTTTTTATTTTCGAGGTGTCATTTATCAACATTTTGTACCATCAAACACAACAGTTGACAGTGCGTATTATTGCAAAGTAGTAAAGGAGTTGAGAATGCACATTTCCCGGAAACCGTCGGACTTGAAAGCTCCGTGGATACTCCATCAAAACAATGCGCAGCCTCACACATCGAGCTTAACACGTGAATTTATGAGTAAAAATGGAGTTGAAACAATCCCTCATCCCCCTTATAGCGCTGACTTGGCTCCATGTGATTTTTGGATGTTTCCCACGCTTAAAAAGGAGCTTCGCGGACGAAGATTCGTATCGAAGACCGAAATCCAGAATGCAATTCAAAACTTCTTCAACTCCATCCCAGAGGAATAATTCAGGAAAACAATGTTGGATAAGTGGCAAGAGCGCATGAAAAAGTGCATCCGGTTTGATGGACGGTACTTTGAAAAGCAAAAGGAAGTTATGGAAGATTCGGAGGAAAGTGGATGCGAATATTAACTTTTTAAATCCTGGTAAGCGAAAAATCTTCCTAAAAACCGTAGGGGTAAACTTTCCTCACTAATTTCAAATTGTCATAACTCGGTCAATTTTTATTCGATTGAGCTGATCTTGGTTT